TTGTTAGTAATTTTGATAGAATGTTCTAGAAGGAAAAGTAGTGAGAGAGAGGGTGAAGACACTAGTTTCTAGGAATACACAGAATTAGATAGTACAGAATTCAAGAGAAAGCAATTAAGGGTAAAACCAGATATTAGTATGGGAGTGCATGCAGGTATGGTTGAAGTTGGATTTCCAGGTAAAAGTGATTGAAAGAACAATAGAGTTTAGATTGAAAGGAAACCAAAGTATTTACAAGATAAGAAGTTGAAAAGATTTGAAATAATATTTGAAGTGAAATAATATTTGAAATGAAATAATATTTGAAATGAAATATTATTTGAAATGAAATAAAATTAGAAAAAATATTTACACACAAAAAAAAACAATAAGAGTTATTTCGCCACAGCTACATCATAATTTATTAGAAAGTTCCCAGACTAAAACAGCCACTGTTACCTATCGACCGTTTCATTATGTGTCATGTGTGCGTAATTCGCTACACATCATCTCGTTAGCTCAGGATGAACCAATGGACTAGTCTTGCCAAATTAAAAACCCTTGTTGCGTTAAAGCTTTGTATTTTCCAAAACACAACACTATGTACAAAAACTTAATGTATAAAACCTTAACCTACACATAACCTTGTTTATGTGCAGATTTCCCAAAATTATATTCCTTGAATTATAAACCCGATACGAGAGCGCCTACTCGTCATGAAAAGCAAAGTACTTCTTCTTCTGAAATTATTTCCGAAAAACTGCCTGCCTCCTTCTTGAACCTTTTTTTATTGCCACTTGTTTTCAAGTTTCAATCTGCCTGCATACAACCCTTAATGCCCCAAAGAGAAAGTTAGCAGGTATAATCCCAGCCCTTGTAAATGTATATTTTTCAAAAAGGAGCAGACCAAATATTTTTTCTAGGAAATCTGAACATGTCATTCTCTTAAGTCTCTAATTGAGGATGACACCTTCGGCGTCAAAACGTGCTTTAGTTTTCTAAATGTTTTGTGGAATTTCGGGGTTTTGCAATATTATGTGGCACAATCTTTCAGATCCATTGTTCATCAAGCACTTCGAAACTGTTACAGCTCTGTTGATATTTTCGATTCATTCATTATGTGCCTTATATTTAAATTAAGCTTAAATTTTGCCATTTTTTCCCGGAAATCAATTACGAAGTATTCCGTTTGCCAAGCTCCAATTACACGTTTTCGGTAGAGCTTGAAGTACCTATGTCGCTTTTAAACTGGAAGCACATTTTCAAGCATAAAGCACTAAATCCCTACACCAATTAAATTAAAATAATGTCTACTTGAGACTTCTCAATTTTTGTAATGTTAAATTAAATGCAATAGTGAATTAATATTTGAATTAAATTTTACTACTACAGATAACGTCAAATTAATGAGCAAAAAATCGTTATCTGTCATTAGCTCGCCGGGAATCGAACATGGACACTTGGTTTTATGAACTAGTACTCAATCACCAAGCTACGAGGAGGTGACAACCAAGGGAATAGATTGCAGAATCATCGAACCAATGTATAATCATTATTATTAATGAGACACTTTTGAATTTTTATAAGGTCAAATTCAATGCACTAATGGATTAATATTTGAATTAACTTTACCCACTACGGATAACCTTAAATTAATGACCCTACGTAGCTTAGTGGTAGAGTACTGGTGCGTAAAACCAGAAACGCGGGTTCGGATCCCGGCGAGGGAGTGAGAGCAGTAACAATTTTTGGTCATTAATTTGAGGTTATTTGTAGTAGTTTAACTTAATTCGAAAAATTAATTCATTAATGCATTGAATTTAATCCTATGAAAATTTAGTGTCTCATTAATAATAATAATTTTTATTTGCTTATTTAAGAAAATCAAAATCGATCTAGGGACTTGTTACGCGTACTTGTATGTATATAGATATCATCAATAGCAGATACAATTAGTTTTAATAATGATTTTTCACCAGGTCTGTTAATTACTAGTACAATAATAATAAAAGGAAATAAAAAATGAAATTATTCTAAATAATTGGAATAACAATCCAATTAACAGGTTTGGACATTGGTTACAATTAAAAATGATAGCAAAATAGGTGGAAATGTAGAAAATCAGTACAAGGTTCAGGACAGTTCATTATTATCTACCAGTGAGTTGGCAGGGTACTCGCAACCAAAAGAAAAACACTATTTAGATCTACGTTTAATGTAATAATCCAAACAATAGGTTAAAAACGACTAATAAAACACCAAGGTTTGTGAATTTTTGAAAAATATGTTGTTTTTCAATTCTCGATTCGACGTGAAATTATCGGGTAATTAAAAGTTAAAATAATAATCCATTTAGTGCGCGCTTTCTTTTCTGCGAATAGAAGTGAGGAAAGCTTACCCTACGTAATTGCAGTTGCTAAAGCCGGATTCGCCTCTAGAGCTTTCTGAATGCAGCGCAAAAAGCGCACTCTAAATAGTTCATTATTCTAATCTCTAATTGTTAATTACCCGATAATGACATGTTGGATTGAAGCACCAAAAAATTTATTTTAGAATAACACATTTTTAATTTATCCCATATAAAACGATATCACAAATCGCGGAATTTGGTAATTTGTATCTAAATTAAAAAGATAAAATTATTCATAGTGCTTTTAATTTTTCTTATTAGCTTGTCTAATTTTTTCGAACTGATCCTTTGGTAATGATGAGGCAAAATAAGCAAAGATTTTTAATTAAATCATGATGCACTAAATAACTAAAGTAATGCCATTATGTTGCAAAAAGGGTTCTTCAACAAACTTTAAAGACAGTACAACTGTAGGGATATATAAAGGGGCAAATGATTAGTATGCTTACATTTGCAGATGATATAGCAGTATTAGCATTTAGCAAGGAGGGGTTAAAGATAGCTTTAAATAAAATGGAAGCGGTATTGACAGAACAGTACTCTATGAAAATAAGTAAAAGTAAAACACAAATACTGGTATATAAGGGAAGAAAAAGTAGGGGAAAAGCAAATATAAAGATAGCAGACGAAAAATTAGAATAAGTGACTGATATGCGGTATATAAGAAGTCAAATAAGTCAGGACGGAAGGGGTAGTAGGGATATAAAGCAGAGGATAGCGCAGGGTCGAGTCGTCTTTAATAAAAAGAAGTCACTAGAAATTCGAAAAGAAATTGTTAAAGGTGTATGTTAGGAGAACGGCGTTGTACGGGTGCGAAACATGGACGGTGGACGCTGCGAAAAAGAAAAGGTTAGATGCGCTCGAAATGTGGTGTTACAGGCGAATGGTGAAGATACCGTGGATAGAGAATGATAGAAATGAAGAGGTATTAAAAAGAATAGGAGAACAGAGGAATCTACGGAAGTCAATAAAGAATAGGTTGGTAGGACACTTTCTCAGACATGAAGGTGTAGTCAGAAACATATTAGAGGCGGGAGTTAGGAGGGGTATAGGTAGACCTAGATTAGATTACTGTTCGCAAATGGTTAAGAATGTGGGTTGTTCTACTTTTAGGGAAATGCGAATATTAGCTCAGGATAGAAAAGAGTGGAGGTTCGTGTTCAACCAGTCTTAGGACTGACGACTTTATGATCATCATTTATAAAACTAATATTCTTTGTTGAATGCGATTGTTCAATACCTATATAATTTAACAATTTCTCGGTTCCTTTTCAGGTCCCGGCTATTGGGGGTTAATGAATCCACAATGGAACATGTGTTCACGTGGCCAACGGCAATCTCCAATTAATGTCGAACCTGACAAACTCTTGTTCGATCCAACGTTAAGGCCACTGCACATAGATAAGCACCAGGTAAGTAGAATAAATTGATTCAGCAATCCACCTCGAAAGTTCGAAGAAGGCTCATGTGGTAGAATAATTGAAAAAATTAAACATCGAGAAAATCCTATGCGTTGCAAAGGTCCTGATTAGCTTAATTTTATTGGCATTATCCTTATAATAGTAGGACTAGTACGAAATTATGTTCCAGTTTAAAAAAATTTACACGATTTCTACAACGATCCGATTTATCCGATTATCGTAGGACACATACGTACCTCCATTAATTAAAATTAGAATAAACTAGTTTTAAATTGCTCTAAACTTCTGTCGATATTCTAAAATATCTAAAGTATCGAACTAAATTTAATAAGATAAAATTTGTATATAGGTAAGTACTAAAAAAAGAATATAACATAGATGAAATGTATGTTATTTATTGGCCACTTTTCATAACTCTCATCATAAGCAACGTTTGCAGTTAACACTCATTAATTTTTATCCATAATTTGTAGCAAAAGCAATTAGGAAATTTTTTGGTAATCAGCATTAGATAAAAGTATCTTGAATGTATCAAAAATAAAATAATTAAGTAGTTTATAACAATTAATGGTAGAGGTCTAGATGATGGCCCCTACCCCCTTCGGGGGGATCGAAAGAGGAAGTCTCCCCCACCACTGTACCATAAAAAGTTCGTGGCGGTCTCACCCCCCATAAAAAGTTATGGAGGTTCAAAGTTAATAAATATGCCAATTTTTATAGGCATGTAAATATTTATGTAGCCATTCCTAAAGAATATTCAAAGGTAAAACTAATAAAAAATATTGAGAAAATTATATAAAACATTAATATAACATAATTATTTTATTGAATTTTATTTGAATTATAGTGTATGAAAATTGTCAAAATAATTAACTTTCAACCCCCTTAACTTTTTATGGGGGTGAGACCGCCTCAAAGTTTTTATGGGGTTTTACTCAGGTGACCACCCCCTTTCGATCCCCCCTACCCTCACCCCTTTCGGGGATGGGGGGCCATCATCTAAAATCATAAAAAGTTATGGGGATGAGACCGCCACGAACTTTTTATGGTACAGTGGTGGGGGAAACCTCCTCTTTCGATCTCTTTCGATCCCACCCACCCCCACCCCCGTCTAGAACTTTACCGAATTAATTGTTTTAAATCAAAAATAACTCTTCACGTGGCGTATTTTATTATTTTCTTCACAATTTTCTTTCAGATTTCTGGCACTTTATACAACACGGGGCAATCGTTGGTCTTTCGAGTGGATAAAGATACGAAGCAACACGTGAATATTTCGGGAGGTCCTTTAGCGTATCGATATCAGTTCGACGAAATCTACGTACACTACGGAACCGAAAACAGGCATGGTTCTGAGCATCATATTCACGGATACTCATTTCCTGGAGAGGTTCGTACTTACAATATTTAAATTTAGGTGTTTAATATTCGGTAACTTAATGGTATGGAAATAACTCCATTTCTGCTCAAAAAGAATTTTATGTGAGCAGGACTACTCAAAGATATCTAATAAAATACGTAGCTACATTACTTCCTGCTTCAATTTAATATTAAACATAGGCGAAGATGTGATGTAGAGAGAAGTAAAATACGGAACATAAATGCTAATGTAATTTCAAAGGACGAATCCTACACATCTGGGGAATTTTACGTAAGATTGATCTTTATCGTACATACGTATATTCTCCTTTTAGTCTTCAACAAAATAAACTGAAAATTTTGTAATATGACAAAAATTTAAATTAAACTGTTTATTTGATATATTCATATGAAAGTTACCAACAGCAACAAAATGAAGCGTTTAAAGCTATGTACAAATAAAGTTAGTATTAAATTAGGTACTGCTGAGATTTTCAGTGATATATTTATATTTGTGTAGTATATTTGTGTCTTATGTATAGGTTACCAGAAATATATGAAAACTAGGAATTGTATACAATTCCTAGGCTACTTAGGAAATCTGTAAAATATTGTTTCAAAGATTTATACATTTCTTGAATAGCCTCGGAATTGTATACAATTCCTGCATTTTATACATTTCCGCTAACATATGTACTAGGGTCAATTGAAAAGTCCCCGGCCTGACACATAGATGACGGCACCAGAACTAAATCCATATGATTTTCAGTTAGTACTAACCTTCAAAAGACGCGTCTATAAATTTGACGGCTGTCGGATCATTAGTTTGTGAATTATAGCATTTTTAGTGAAGCAACTTTTGTTATTGTGAAAAAAATGGATCAAAGGAATTTCGCGTGTTGATAAAATATTGCTTTTTGAAGGGAAAAAATACAGTTGAAGCAAAAACTTGGCTTGATAACGAATTTCCGGAACACTCCCCAGGAAAATC